GCTGAGGGTGTGGGGGGTAGTGAGGCTGAGGGTGTGGGGGGTAGTGAGGCTGAGGGTGGTGTGGGGGTGGTGATGCTGAGGGTGGTGTGGGGGGTAGTGAGGCTGGGGGTGGTGAGGCTGGGGTGGTGTGGGGGTAGTGAGGCTGGGGGTGGTGAGGCTGGGGGTGGTGTGGGGGGTAGTGAGGCTGAGGGTGGTGATGCTGAGGGTGGTGTGGGGGGTGGTGATGCTGAGGGTGTGGGGGGTAGTGAGGCTGAGGGTGTGGGGGGTAGTGAGGCTGAGGGTGGTGTGGGGGTGGTGATGCTGAGGGTGGTGTGGGGGGTAGTGAGGCTGGGGGTGGTGAGGCTGGGGTGGTGTGGGGGTAGTGAGGCTGGGGGTGGTGAGGCTGGGGGTGGTGTGGGGGGTAGTGAGGCTGAGGGTGGTGATGCTGAGGGTGGTGTGGGGGGTAGTGAGGCTGAGGGTGTGGGGGTAGTGAGGCTGAGGGTGGTGTGGTGATGCTGAGGATTTGGGGGGTAGTGAGGCTTAGGGTGTGGGAGGTAATGAGGCTGAGGGTGGTGTGGGGGGAGGTGATGCTGAGGGTGGTGGGGGGTAGTGAGGCTGAGGGTGTGGGGGTAGTGAGGCTGAGGGTGGTGTGTGGGGCAGTGAGGCTGGGGGTGGTGAGGCTGAGGGTGGTGTGGGGGTAGTGAGGCTGGAGGTGGTGTGGGGGGTAGTGAGGCTGATGGGGTGTGGGGGGTAGTGAGGTCAGAGAGATCAGATGAGTCCTTCAGGACTGTAGTGGACACTGAATACACTAGCCTAGCTATCAATTTCCCTATCAAATCAGCAGCAGCTACACTGTCCCTCCTGTCACTAAGAATGCAGCTTCACAATGAATGTAAAATGGATGCTGTCCAGGAGGTGGGAGGGTCTGGGAGGGAGGGTCTGCTGCCGATTGGCTGGAATGTGTCTGCTGACTGTGAGGTACAGGGTCAAAGTTTACTCAATGATGACGAATAGGGGGCGGACCGAACAGCGCATATGTTCGCCATCCGTGGCGAATGCGAACAAGCAATGTTTGCTGGGAACTATTCACCAGCGAACCGTCCGGGACATCACTATTGGCAACCTGAATGTTCAAATTATTTCCCAGTGCATATGTGGACACACAGGTACCTGGTTATTCTGATGGTCAAGGTTCATTCTTTGTTAAAATCAAGAGCACAAGAATGTAACGTAACTTTTTTCCAAATTTATCACACAGTGTCCATCAAGTCTAAAAGCAGAATATAGTGAAGGAGATTAATCAGTACAAAACAAGTTCTATTTTAGGTACAAAGTGCTAAATGTGGAGAGACATTTGATTGATTTAAATGTGAGTACATCTTATTTAGCTCTGTGCATGGAATAGTATTTAATCTCCATCATTTTAGCTGTATGTACATTTTATGTCTGTTTTTCAATCCCACCATGCATGTAACCTGATTTTGTGGAACTAACATGTGCATGTTCTGACAACTATTTCATATTATGATGTTGCACCTAATGATGACTCTAAGCTCTACTACTACCCACTGAAATGGTTAGCATGAGCAGGGTAACATCCCTCAGTTCTGTGTCAAACTGTTTTCGATGTGCCCATCAATTGCTGTCTATATGCAGCTGGAATTGATATTGCTAATGTGAAAGTGTAACTTTCCTAATAGCAATATGCAGAGTGAAGGGTCAGGTCATGAATGTTTTTTTTACATGGAATGGCAAATAAAAAATATCATAATTTTCAATTAACCCCAATTCACGTATTAATTGCAGATTCACACCAAATATCAGTTTTTTTCTTAGTGTTAATCTGATATATCTACTTAAAGGACCACTATAGGGACCCAGACCACTTCAGTTTAATGCCTGGTCCAGCTAGGATTAACCCTTTTTTCTATAAACATAGCAGTTTATATATAGCTATGTTTATAAATGGGTTAATCCAGCCTCTAGTGGCTGTCTCATTGACAGCTGCTAGAGGGCTTCCGTGCTTCTCACTGTGATTTTCACAGTGAGAAGACGCCAGCGTCCTTAGGAAAGCATTGTGAATGCTTTCCTATGAGCCTGGCTGAATGCGCGTGCAGCTCCTGCCACGCATGCGCATTCAGCTGAAGAGGAGGAGAGGAGGCGGAGAGCTCTCTGCCCAGTGCTGGAGAAAGAGGTACGTTTAACCCCTTCCTCCATCTAGAGCCCGGCGGGAGGGGGACCCTGAGGGTCAGAGAAACTGCTATGTTTATAAATGGGTTAATCCAGCCTCTAGTGGCTGTCTCATTGACAGCTGCTAGAGGGCTTCCGTGCTTCCGGCGGGAGGGGGACCCTGAGGGTGGGGGCACTCTCAGGGCACTATAGTGCCAGGAAAACGAGTATGTTTTCCTGGCACTATAGTGGTCCTTTAACTCATATATCAGCATTTATTCCACGTAAGTAATCCAACATAGAAAATGCTAGACTCCATCTAATTCATATGCCACAGAAACTAAATAATTATTTATCATTAATAATATAACACACATACCTTTGCAGCATTGAAACCAGGGTGGTCAAAAGTTTATAACTATTTATTTTGCCCCTCACAGGGTTCTGCGTAGATGCCCAGTTTAAATTATCATAATTGACCTGTACAGGAAAAGTGTTATTTTCCATACACCAAAATGTATAATTTATATATCTTTAAAAAAACAAAATTAGAATCATTGATTAAAAAGTGTCTAAATTGCAGAAAATATTAATCGTTTAATTGTGATGGAATCCAGGCTTCAACATTTTCCACTTTATTGAAGCAAAATCAAACCATAACTTAATGCCTCAGGAGAGAGGCATTTAAGCATGGTGTGTGTTTTGGCAGAAAATACAATGACAGCCTTTATTAACCATTTGGTCACCTGGCAATGGTGTCTGTCAGCAAATGCCCTTTGCCATGTAGGTAAACGTGAAAATATACCTTGTATGTGAAAAGATACCTTCTGAGGAGTCATGATATGCAGTTAATTGACTGATTGTTACCTGAAGCATAATTATTTACCTAAATACCTATACATTGAGTACCTATGCATACATTGTATGTAAACATACAAAATGCTTATATATAGATAATACATGCAAATATGATACATGTAGTAATACATATTTGTCAAGAATTGCATGACCTTTACACTCAAAATTAGGTGTAACACCAGACAATAGAGGGGAAAAAAGGACATTTTTGTCTACTGGTCTGTAGAGTAGCTGGTCTTAACAAGATGGCTACTAGGTGAAAGTCTACAAACAGGCAGACAATTAACAGAAAGAGCCAAGGTGTTATAGAAATATAGAAAGACACAAAGTGAGAAAGAGGCCATGGTTAAGGGTTAGGGAAATCAGAATAGTAAAGATACAAAAGCCAAGTCAAAAGTATACAAACTATGAAAAAAAAAGTCACCCTGTAGGTTATACACAACCATGACAAGCTAACACACTGAGCATAATTGGAAATATACATAACAAATAAAGGCTTACTATTGGTTTATACCAGAAAAGCAATGTTAGGACATTTGAGACCAATGTTGAATAAGAGATGCAGTCTGCTGAGGTTCAATACCCCCTTTGGGTATAAGAGATGTCCATAACAGAGTGGTTTGCATCAGAATAGATGGCAGAATGACACACACGCTCAATATTTGTGCTACAACAGACAGATGGAACAGGAACCGCAAGTACCATGACAACTTTATAGTATGTAACTGTATGATAACAGACCTTTCTACATTGTCTTATAGAGGGCTAGGCAATATTAATTACTCCAGATGTTGTTGGAGCATCATGGGAGATGTAGTTCACAACATCTGGAGTGCTGAAGGTTGCCTACCCCTGCATCACTATTATATGTGTTTATAAGAATAAGGATTTTCTGGGTTTTAAGGCCATATTAAATAGTAACACGGTATTTTAATAATTTCTCATACTCCCAAAATTCATAGATTCACAAGGTCTCCTTGTCCCATTATCCTGGGTTTGTCCTCTAGTGTCCTAAAAAAGTCTTCAGTAAGAGTAGCATAAGAGCATCATGATACATGCTAGTGCGGTTCTATTCAGCCTATAGTCGACTACTTCAGTAAGTGGCCTGTGCAAGAGCTACCCTTTGTGGGGTTGGCCAGCATAATCACCAGTCAACCTGGCTGGCTGCAGCATCACCAATGTTGTAAAAAGCTGTAATGGCACAAACCACCCAGCATTCACTACTCTTAATGTTGGAGGGGCATGCTTTCCTCAACTATAAAACTATTAGTAAAATATTTGGACACAATGCAAAATAGATTATAGACTTTATACAATATTAAGAGGTAATATTATTTGTTTTATTCAACAGCACTGATACATAGTTATATTATTTGTTTGTTCATTAAAGCAACACAATAGTGTTAGGAATACAAAACTGTATTCCAAACATTATAGTGCTCTCTGCTACCCCCTTCCTAGCGGTGGCAAATAAGGTTAAACACCATGTTTTCACTTACCTGATTCCAGTGCTGATGTCCCTCTGCACTGTTGGGCACCACCTCTGCTAATGTCAGCCGATAGGGGTAACGTGAAGCGCATGTTCAGTAAGTGCCACACGCATTTGGGCTTCCCCATAGGAAAGCATTGACTCTGCTTTCTTATGGGGTTTTTCCACATGTTGGACGTCCTCATGCAAAGTGTGAGGATGCCCAGTGTCGCTTCAAGTAATTAAACTTCTAGTGGCAGTCTTGACCCTGTAATATTAACATTACAGCTGCTCTAAAAAATTAGATAAAGTGGTCTGGGTGCATACAGTGTCCCATTAACTTGCAAGATGCGTGAAATTAAAATGTATTAAATCAAATACTAATTTTGTTAATGTTTAAATATGGGTGTATCTCAGTATTTTATAACTGGCTGACTTAGTTAACTTAATTAACCTTTCATTTTGGAAATAGTTGGATATCGTTGAACTTTAAAAATTCTGTACAAACAACAAATTAATCTTTTTAATTACGGCTACAAATAATTTTTTTCTAAGTATCTAAATTAGATTTTTGTTCATCCAATTTAGCCATTACTTATAATATTTCTAATAACCTTAACAGGGTTTATGACACCTACACAGTTTAAATTATTTTTTTGTCTTTTCTTTTCTACTGGTTACAATATTGTAGGGAATTCGTACCACTTAAAAAGCAAAAGTCAATTTCAATCTTGTTTTCTTTTTTTTGAGAGCTGGCCTTTAATTATAAAATGTACTTTGTGTGTAAATGTACCCAGTGGTATGCTTGTCCTTGATGCTCTTGTCATTATTTCCATTAAGAAATAACTGCTGCTGAAGAGACAGTGAACGTGCTGAAGAGGTAGTTAATCTTACTCTGCAGCTGAGCAGATAGATATTGTACCATCCAAAATAAATGTGTGTGCTTCTACCTGCTGCATAAACAGGCTGTTATTTTGTCTATAATATCTATTGAGATTTATTTTTTCGTCTGGAGCTACACAATTTAAAAAAAAACATTTCTAGGGCTTGTGTAATACAAATGACTTGTTATCGTAAACGTCCTCACATGCTGCTCATTCTGAATAGTAACATTGTGATAAGAGATTATGCACTATTTAACAGGTAAATATAGTTACATTGTTATATAGGCTGAAAAGAGACATGCATCCATCAAGTACAGCCTTTCTCACATCAGTTTTTGCTGTTGATCCAAAAGAAGGCAAAACATTTGTAATTTTGCAACAAACAAAGAAAAAAATCCTTCTTGACCCCAGAATGGCAGTCAGATATCTCCTTGGATCAAGAAGCTATTACCCCACTAATTAAAAAAATTAACGGTTTTATATTTGAGGTCTAGCAAGCTAGTTTAAAGTAGAAAATCAAACACATCAGAACTTGAAGCTGTATTACAGAATGATTC